GTAGGAATCTGTATGCTTGTACCTACCACCTAGGTTGAGCTACCATGATCCATGTGTTTGGAACACAGAGCCTTGTTCAGGTGTGTGAAATGCTTGGAGTGTTCTTTTGGCAGTTTTCAAGTCTTTGAATATTAGGTGCCAGGTTTTCTTCTTCTACTTTATGTATATACATTTAGCTTCCATCTCTAATCCTGAGCCAGTAACCATGTTGGGGTGTGTATGACTGGATTTGGGTGTGGTTTCCATTGATGAATATGAGTAATGAAAAACAGAGGTTAGCAATTTTTTTTAAAAAAATCTTGTTCTTAGTTATCATTATGAATACGCAAGGACCTCAACAACTGAAACACAATTCAGATTTTTAACCATGATTACTTCGATGCCTTTTGCCATCATTGGCCTCACTATTTTTTTATAATCTCAAACATTCTCTCTCTCTCTCTCTCTCGCTCTCGCTCTCGCTCTCGCTCTCGCTCTCTCAACCACACACACACACACACACATGTATTCTCTGGCCAGTGCTAAGGCTTTGGCATTGCCATTGTACTTTTCCTAGGAAAGGAGGGTCGAGAGCATCCATAGCTGATGGGAGTCTTCTTCTCATACCTCCAACACTAGGATGATAAACCAAGCTTCGTTTGTTGATTCTTAACTCTTTGTCCATGGTTCTGGTAACCTTGCTTTATCTTATGGGTGGTATTTTCAGTAGGACCAAAAAATACTCAAAGTTTTAATCCATAATGATGAGGATTCAGGATCAGCCCTATCATCAGCCGCCTAGAGTAGTCGCAATGACCAGATAGGCGGGATATAAATAGAATAAAATAAAGAAAGAAAGAAATTTACAGACTGATGACTTAGGCAATGGATGCTACAAGTAACATAGCCTACCCGGTAAACTATCCTGCAGGTGCAGTGAGGTCAAGATGCAGCCCCATCACCCGTGTTGAAGAGAGATTCAGCTGCCAGTTGAATCAGCTTTTGAACAGAGAGTGGGGCTGAAAGTACTCTGTTCTGCCCTGCCGAAACTAGGTGTGCTGCTCAACAAGGTTCTGTCTTTCTTCTTAAATCACTGTGTGGTCTGATGATCACTTTAGGGCGTGCTTACATTGCAGCTTCCTGTGCTCTCAGAATATTAGCGTGGTGTATCTGGGAATGTGATTTAAGCATTCAGGGGTGGGGGTGTCAAGCAAATCGTTTATCACATTTTGTCCCCCATTACACCTGTGTTGCACAAAAACACAGCTCAACTTCTATGCCTATCATATAACATAAATAATATTTGAAAAACCATGTGATCTCATGCAATTCTTTTGGCCTCTTGGCAGGAAAAAGAAAATACTCTGCCCCAATCACTGTTGGAAACTATTTGGATGCTACATATCTCCTCATTCCACGTGGTCCTTGTTGACTACAGAGCTTGGGAGTGTTACATTTTACACTGCAAGTACCAGAATCTCCTAGTCAGCAGCCATGCTGGCTCAGGGATTCTGGGGACCACAGTATTAAAAAGGAATATTTTGAAGCTTTGAATAATTATCATCTAGCTTTCTTAAGATACGAAAATCTAATGCTTGACTTGAATAAGGTGGCTCCAATGATTTCTGCCCATAACAGTAGGATGCTAATAATTTGCTTTTTTGTTCTCTAGAGAAACCTGCCTCACACTCTGGTTACTGGATGCCATCAGCAAAGGACCCACCTCCATCCTGTCATTTCATATTGCTGCTGTGGGTGGGGATTGCATTTACAGCTGCTGTGATTTTTATTTCTATGGCTTCAGTTACTACTGCAGGAGAAGCATGGTCAGGAGACAAGCATGTCTGTCAGAAACAGGAGAGTGAGATTGCTGATGCCGGCTCAGTTTTTATAGATGTACCTTGTCAAATGACTGCTGTCTGAATGACTTCTGGGCAGGAAGGAAGTGTGAAACAATTAAAAAGAGTTAAGGATGTCTACACAGAGCTAAGTTTTGGGAGGTCATTCTTATGCTTGAGGTGTTACTGCTTTGCACGTTCTCAGCAGTCTATGGGGAATCTATTTCCCAAATGCATTCTCTTCTGCTTCTCTGGCATTTCTTGCCTTCTCTTCCAGACTGTAATTCATCCTGACAAAGTTTTCAGTTTCTGTCTTCCCCCTTAAGCTTCCCATTGTTGTTATAAAGCATAAATGTGTGTAGGCCAAGAAGAGCAAATGCTTCAACTTCCTCTAGTTGTACTGTGAATGATAAACACTATTGTTTTATTCACAAAACACCATGTACATAGATAGTTATAAAACTGAAGCGACTCAAAATGTGCTTGCTGATTGACTCATCTAAAATTCAGGTATTTACAGACATTTTCTTCTATCTAAACAAGAAGCTGAGTTTTGGGGATGATAAGAGAGTATAAACATCAAAATTAGTTCTCTATGATCCTTGTCTTGAACCTTAAAACTTAATGAGCACCAGGAATGTGTACATATTTAAGTGGGTGCCTAAACACAAGATGAGCTCTCATCAACAGGCCAGTAAATTATTCTATTGATTAAATATATCCCAGAATGTCACTTTAATAAAGAAGGTGATGTATAAAACAACATATGTTAAACTTACTTTGATCTTACTTCAGAAGCCTGAATATTGCTCAAGCTAGGGAACCAACTGAATGATTTACTCTTCTGGAGCCTAATGTGCACTCGTTCACACCAGACCTGAAGGTGTACTACAATTATAATCCTGACCCTAGTACGTGATAGTATTGAACAAAGTATTAAGAGCATTGCAGTCAGGTTTTTGCAGACATTTAAGTCTAGTTTCAGACTTGTTTCTTGAACAGATCAGACTAGGCCCTTAGGATGTATAAACAAGGTTGTGTGGCATACAAGCATACACAGTTTTTTTCTATTAAAACCTTGCTGCGTTTGGGCCAGTCACTCAGCCAGCCTTTTCTCAGTTCTGTAGACTGACTGGCCATTCTGGACTGGGCCATGTTTGCCTTGAAGGAATGGTTAACAGGATGTGGGAGTGCTATTAAATTCAGGGTTGTAAGATGGTCTATTTTTAGCCCCATTGACCTTATTACGTATCTTTCATAACCTTTAGTATTAACTATAGCTGTTGCCGAACAGGAATACCTTGTCCATAGTTACCCAGGCATTAGTAACTTCAAGACTAGATTATTGCAATGCGGGTTTTGTTGTTAAGTTTGGTCCCAATACTGTAGCCAGCATAGAATGCAACACTTCAGCTATTAAAAAGTACAGTATAGTCTTTAGTCACCATATGACAGCTTTGATAAAGAAACTGCACTGGCTAATTATTGCTACTGGCACCATTTATTTGTTTTAAACAACTTGGTATCAGATTTTCTGAGGGATGTTTTGAGCCCTTAATTCCCTGTGTGGCCTTCGGCAAGCTGCTCAGTCCCAGGGCAATGGTAAACCACTTCTGAGTGCTCTATACCTAGAAAACCCTGAAAAGGCTCATCATAGGTCAGAATTGATTTGATGGCTCATGACATTAAATCCCCGCGTGGTCACTGCAGTCCTCCATTGAAATCCTCATGGGCATGCCATGTGCCTATCGAGTTCAGTGTGTGAAAACTTAAAGCAGCTTCTAGAGTAGCAGGAGCTGCTTTGTGAATAAATTTCCCATAGACATAAATGAACACATCAATGCTGTTGGATTTGGGGCTTTTGTTACACATTTCTTCACTTACAAAAGCCTTTCCAATGGTATGGTTTCAGCTATATATATTACCAGCTTACTCTACCACATCAGCTTATATCTTGTTGTGTCACATTTTAAATTCGGTACACCACTTGGGTATTCTTGGAATTTTTTAAATACATTAAAGAAAAAAGAGTAAATAAATTTCTGTAACAGTAGGCTTTCTCACAACTCTTTATAGCTTGCTGGTTTCCCCCTCAAGGTTGGTGTGTTCCAAATCGTGGATCTCCCTGCTGGAATATTAATGCTTAATGCTTATGTTTGAGATTTGCCTCATGAATCAGTGGTAGTGTAGTTGTACGAACATATAGTAAGAGAATAATTTCACCGTATTAAATATGTTTAAATATTTCCAACTAGCGCCAAAGCAGATTTCAGTATCATGCATGTGTATTGTTAATACTATTTCTGTAACATTTTCAGGATATTAATTTATTTGTTTCTATAAAATATTTGTTTCTATAACATATAGCTAACTGGATAGCTCAGTTATTTAGGTATGTGGACCCAGAGGTTGGAGGGCAGTTACAGGGCGCCCCAGAAGAAGGGAATAGTAAACCCCAATTGAGCATTCTCTACCTTGAAAACTCTGAAAAAGGTCTCCATAAGTCCGAATTGACTTAACAGCACATGAGCATTATTACTACGTATTAGCTTTGCTCCATAGGCAATCTTACTAACATATCACTATATACTTAGGGTTGGCTTTCTTTTTTTGATTAAGCATTTTGAGATTTTAAAATAAATTTTATTTCAAATGTATTCTCGAATTTCAAATGATTGGGAGTTTAAATTCTCTGAATGTAAGAATGAATGGGTAGATTCAGGGTTAACTTGGATACACTATGGAGATTTTCAGTGTTTTATTTTTAGGGATGGAGAAGTAAACTTAGATTCAGAAACGGTTGAGGGGGGATTTTTGAACTTCCAATATACACATTTTAGCCACTCTGGACTGGGAATCTGTATGCTCACTTATGAGTAAAAAAGAAAATAGCCTTCATCTACATTCAATATATTTAAAGTAGCTTGTATAATGTAAACTCTGAAAGCACCAATGACAAACCTCTCTTCCTTTTTCAGAGTGATCATCTGTCTATTAAAATTATTTGACATGAAGTGCATCTAGGTATGCCTTTGCTGAGTTTTCCAGCCATCAGTAATCAAACAACTATGAAATTATCAAACCAAACCAGGTCATGGCTGGTGCTTAATAGAGATGGAGCTGATTCAGGAGATAATGTATACTATTGTGCCATACTTGTTTCTTTCTTTCCCTAGATCTAGTGAGTGGCTATTCCATGACACCACCAGTTCTCAGCATCACAGAAGAGGAATACGTGATCAACGCTAAGGATACACTGAATATCACCTGCAGGTAAAAGCCCCGTGGAAATGCCCTTCACTCTTCCTAACTGTTACATCAAAAGATTCTGAGAGACCAGTCCCAGAGATTCATTGGGAGTCATTACTCCCAACTTCTTAACATCTAAGAGTATTCATAATGAACATCTGGCATAGGAATGTGATTAAATGATGTTTCTTGGAACTCTCTCTGAGCACTGTATAGAAAAACTGATAGAAGCTAGCTTGTCTCATTGGTCCATCAAAGCCAAGTACAATTAGTTCAGATTGGCAACAGCCAATTGGCAACAGCTTTCCACAGAATTGGCAGAATTCAAGCTCTATCTGGAGATGCCACAGAAAAAGATCTACTGTATTACTCAGCTATAATTCTTTCCTTTGTGAAAGACACCTGTGAAATAGGGTCTTCGGGATTTTCTCTTAAGAACACTAGGTAAGGTACATGTGATGGTCTGCTGGGTTCTTGGAGTTATGACCTGAGAACCATGACTTGTTACAGGTTCAGCAGGAACACTACATATACCTTCTCTAGTTTCTCATTACAAACATTTCCGTGTTGATATTGGCAATTGAACAGTATTTCAAGACACTGTGTCAAATGAAATAACAAACTAAAAACGATCCAGGCAGCTTACAGTATTAAAAGAGACAATATCAGAAGCTAAAATAATAAATCATTACCATATTTTAAAAGAATTAAACAAACATAACATTAAAGCTAGTAGATTAAACAGTAGTAAAAACACATGTAAAATAACAATAAAACCCAACAGTGCTATTTTTAAGAATCCTCTAAGAAAATCAGCCATTAAGAAAAAGCTTGCCTAAAGAGAAAAGTCTTCGTCTGCTTGCAGAAGGACAGCAAAGATGAGACCATGGGAGGGAAGGACTTCTAAAGTCCACAAGCAACAACAGAGAAGGCCATTTAATGCATCTAAGGTGGTGGGGGCAAGAGAAAGGCCTCTTCTGATAATCTTATCACTCAAGGAGGCTCATAAAGGGAGATGCAATCTTTGAGATAACTTGGACCCAAGTCATTTAGGGCTTTATAGGTCAAAATCAGCAATTTAAATCAACACCCAAAAAACGGACCAGCAGCCAGTGAAACTGTTGTTAACAGAGATGCTATGTGATCCCTGTAACCAGCCCCAGTTAATAATCTAGCTGTAGAATTTTGGACCCAATGAAGTTTCCAAACATTTTTCAAAGGCTTTTGGAGTTACAGCATTCAAATTTTTAGGAAGAATAATAAAAGCAAGTACAGGGACATATAACAGTGGCTGAAGTCCAAAGCACATTAAGACTTGTTCTGCATGTTGAATGGGGATTTGAGCTTGTGTTTTTTGGCCAGCAGAACCTCCAGTGCCACAAAGCAAATCACTTTTGAAACGATAAAAGGACTTTTAAGAGTGGACTGTAATATGGCAAAGAATGATCTCACCTCGAATATACACCTATATAATTTTACTTAGAAGTCAGATTCGAATTTATGGCAACCCTAGTAGGGTTTCCAAGGTATGTGGGGTATTTAAGAAGTGGTTTTGCCAATATCAACCACCTCCTCATGACTTTCCATGGCCAAGTAGGGATTTGAACCCAAATCTCCTGGGTCCTAGTGCTATGGAATATCCACTATATTGCACTGGCTAGATTAGGTTACAGATTTCCATTTGGGTGGAATGCAGATAAGCCTGAAAGTCAGTAACCACTCTTGTATACAGGTATGCTTGGCCTTCACGACACGCATCTTCTCCAGTTCCTCTAGAGATAAATTGTTACAAACTTCTGTTGCCACACCTGTTTCAATTTAAACATTTTAATCTACATCAGCTCATGATGGCAAACCTCTCCAAGCAATATACCTATATGCTTTTTAATATACAACTCACTCTAAATCATTGAGTAAAGCCCTTTATTTAATAAGCCCTTTCCAGAGAAAGGAAAGCAGTTTTGTTAACATTGCTAATTTAGCGCCGATTGTATTAAGCATTTATTTATATGACAGAGACGCACAGGGAGCAGGAAGGTGTTTTATTTCTAGTCTGAAGTCTTATGTGGGTAGCTGCCTTTGCCAAAGCAAAGAGGCTGACCTGTTGTTCTCTGAGTAATACAAAGGAATCTTCCCAACTAACAGTTCATTCCTTACTGCTGTGTTGATCCATCTTATCTTTACTTCTGCAGGGAAGATGACCAGAGGCAGGGCACATGCTAGGAAGAAGACAGCAGGAAGATTTCATTTTTTGTTTGTTTTTTGTTAATTCCAGACTATTTCATACATACAGGCATAAATGCATATGCACACAAAAATGCAGCCCCTATGTTTGTATGAGGTGCTGACTATTCTGCCCTTCCATACCTGGTTCCCCTTAAACTTCAGCTACCACATATAAACAGCCAGAGAACCAGCCCTTTGTGGAAGAACAGCAAAGTGGTATTGAACTGATGGCTTTCTCTGAAAAACATACTGACACCACATCAGATAGATGAAATATCTTTTCTGCTTTTAAGACCAATTAATTTTTTCTTCCTTCTCCTCCTCACTTGGCTTTTATTTCTGTAGCACTTCAAGGAATGGGTTCACCAAAAAAGATATTTATCTTATTCTTCTTTGTCTACCACCACCACCACCTCTTCTTCGCACAAGCACTTCTTAAACTGAAGCAAAGTTCTATTTGTTGGCTATCTTTTAATCTTATCCGTGTTGCACAATTTCTTCACTGAACTATGGATGAGCCCAAATAGATACAGCTTATATTAGTGAGAGCGAGCAGGAAATATGCAGTATATCCAGGCCACAGAGGAAAAAGATAGCAGGAAAGATACAAGAATGAGCCAGTAGGAGATTTCTTCAGTAGAACAAAATCATTTCAAATGTGTATGACGCAACCTCTGTCCTCAGATTTCACTGGAGAACAAAATCATTTCAAATGTGTATGACGCAACTTCTGTCCTCAGATTTCACTGGAGAATTGGAGATAGATTTGTTTGTCCATGCTGCAGCTATATGAAGAATGTTCTGGCTGCTACTTGCAAGCAGTATTAAAATATATCCCATCTCAGCTCCCTGTGCAGAACTCTTGTTTCGTTCTTTGCATATAGGACGTCAGATTTCATTTAGTCCATGGAACATGAACTGGCTCTGAGTTCTTATATTGACAATTACAGCTGGGGGGGGGGAAGTAGAAATAGAAAATGTATAGTTCATCATTCATTAGTCCCAGTTCAGATATTAAATCAGGGTTGAGTGTTATGTCCTCAGTCTATACAGTTCTGTTTATTATTGCATCCCATGTTCCACTCTTAATAACCTGAGTATAATTTGAAAAATTACTTAATTTCTGAGCTTGTGCATGCATTTTTTCCCCTATGTTTTTAAAACTCTGTCTCCCACCATTGGGCTCATTTTTTATTGACAGCATCATAGGATGAAAATCAATGTTCATATGCTTGTACAATTGTATCAGAATTTCTTTAGGTGTTGTGATTTCAGGGATGAACACATGGGCATTTATGTGTTTCTTCAGTCTTCTCAATATTCTTTTTTTGTACTGTTGACTCCATCATTGTTTTTGACAATACTTTGGAACTCACAAGCAATCTCCCAGAATTCTGGCTGAGGAAATTCCTGGGGTATTATGGGGGCTGAAGTCCAAGAAATCTGAAAGTCCCATATCTAGTCTTTAGTTTTAAAAAAGTATTTTTTGTTCTCAGTTCTCAGACTGTTGTATCTTAATCAATTTCATTTGCTTTTGAACTTGCTCCTCAGCCTTGCTTATTCTAGTGCAGAATCTTTTGCCTGGCAGAGTCACACTTTTGCATAGGCCCTGGATCGGAGCCCTCTGCTTAGCCTTTCTGCCTGGCAAAACCTGAACTGCAAGCTTCTGGCTTGGCTTTCCACCTGCATTAGAGGAATCTAATACTCTTTACCTTGCTGGTATTAGAACATGGAAGAAAGGGAATTTTAGAATATAAATTCCAGGAGTCTCTAATCTGGCTTCTGTCATTACTTTTCATCCTGTACAGAGGACAACATCCCCTGGAGTGGTCATGGCCTGGAAGCCAAGAGGACACCATCCAGGTTGGAAAAGAAAGTGATTCCGTGCTCTTTGTGAGTCCTGACAACATCCGAACAGTGAAGGAAGAGGATTGCGAGGGTACTGATACAAAGCCTTATTGCAAGGTCTTGACACTGACGGGTACTCAGGCGAATGATACAGGCTACTACCGCTGTTACTACAAATACATCAGTGCCAAAATCGAGGGCACTACTGCAGTGAGCACTTACATATTTGTGAGAGGTAAGAGGGTAAAAGATTTGCATGCCTAAAATAGGCTGAAGTTGTGGATTGTGTTGTAAGGTTGTAAGAAGAGAAACTATTTGGAGTTAAACTATTGTGAAGAAAAAGAGGCGACCCTGGCTTTGGGAAGGGAAATGCCAACATAATGTTGACCTAAAAATGCAATTCTGACAATCTACCTGTGTCTTAACCTGCTCCATTGTTGCACTTGTCAACTTGTAGTGTTGCTGCTGGGCTTCTACACCATGTCTTAGAAGGCTTACTTGTATTCTGCTCCCAGACCAGCTGGCCCCAAGGTATTGGCAGGCTACGGAGTCCTGAATTCAGGTAGAGGCTATGCAGTGATCCAGCATATAGAATCCTGTTGGAGATCCAGAGGTTAGGTCCAAAAACAATCGAAAGTCAAACATGCTGTTGAAGAAAACAAACAGGGAGAGCCCGTCTAAAAGTCATTTGCAGCAAAGATCTGGATAGAAGGCAGATAAAAAAACACTCAAGCAAGGAAAAAAACACCTCCAACAAATCTCCCAGTCCTACAATGTGTTTTAAGTTACTGATCTACTAGAGCCCTATCTAGAGCTTAGCTGTAGGCATTTAGTGAGGGAAACTCAGCTGCAGGATTTGGCTTCTTGGCAGGAAGAGTTTTTCTCTTATGATGAGTCTTTTCCTGCAGTCAAGCATTTAATTTTAGGACTCCTACTTTTATTCTATGGTAATAGACCAGCCTCTTCCTTTCACTCAGTCATTGAGTAGTCTCCTTCTGGAGATTTAAAGTCCTGGGCTCCAAAGGAACCAACAGTTTCTCCCCCCCTCCTTGCCAGGCTCGGGGATGTGTGTCTCAAACTCACAAGTGGGGCAGCAATACCTGGTTGTCTAAAGAAACTGCAAATAATTTAAATGAGTATGTTTGTTTCTATTGCTTTCAAAGGATGCCCTTAAGTACTTCAGCTCTTTCCAGAGACTCGTATAGTCAAGAGATAAAGTGGTAGAACATCACACCCTTCAGGAACAATGCAACACCTTTCTGTACATGTTTACTTGAAAGTAAATTGTACTGTAGTATGTTTTACTTGAAAGCAATATATATTATGTTCAGCTGGGCATAGTTTAGGATTGAGGTTCAGAATCTCCACATTGTGCAAATATCGTATCTATCAAATTCTTGAATTTGTTTATTTTTATGTTCCTTATTTAAAACATGTCCATGCTGATTTTCATTGTATAAAAGTTCAAGGTAAATTGCAATACAAAGAGTAAATGATTTCAGAACTGAATATAGGACAGTAAAGCTAATATCCAACTGTGATGATTTTTAAAAAGTCTAGTAGTTTGAGTTTGAGTTCTAGTTTCAAGTATAAAAGTCAGACTGCGATATATATTAAAATGCCCGGGTTAAAAACTACATCTTGGTTTGGTAGCAAAAAAGAAAAAAAAGGTTGTAAAGCAATGAATAGGCATGCCTCTTTAAGGAAAGCATTCAACAGCCAGCATGCCACCATGCAGCTTTGTCCTTTGAAATGTACTTCTTGAAAGCACATTATGTAAGCTCTCATTGGAAGAACTGAAGACAGAATAGTAGGGGAAAAGGCATGGTTTCAAGTCTTTGGATCCTAGGCCTTTTAGAACTGCAAAGATAAATAATAGCAGCTTGATTTGGAAATGAAGTGAATTTTTTTCTTGCAGTTTTATTGTCTTTTCTGGTAAGTCTTCTCTTCTCATAACATGTCCAAAGTACAATAGTTTAGCTGTAGTGAGAATTCAGGCTTGATTTGCTCTAGAACCCATCTATCAATCTAGTGACATAGCTGAACCTAACTAACTCCCAAACAAAAAAAAAAGGTTAAATTGTTCTTCTAGAGGGAATGAAAGTAACCCTGTCTATAACGTCTTACACCCTATTTATCTGACACCAACTCCCTGTGCTTTTACCTTGATGGAGGGATTTGGTTTCAGTTTGTTGGTTAACATCCAAAACATTATCAAATACAGGCACTGGGTATATGATGCAAGGGAGGCACACAATGTTGTATCCTTAAGTTACTCTGGGGCTGCTTTCACCCTGAACATAAGGAACTACTGGGGTGGGAGTAGGGGTGTCTGCAGAAACATTTTCGCCTTTTTAATTTTTTTCTTTTTCTTTTGGTTTTGCCTGATATGCTTGCAGAAAGTTAGAGGATGCTGACTGAGTTGAGGATACAAAGAAATCTGTATGAGAAATTTGAGAAATACTGTCCTCTCATCCCCACCTCTAAATCTGCACACTATTTCCTGGTTATCTTGCATCACCCCTCATAATCTCAAAATGTTTCTCTACACACATGCTGGGTTCCTTCTCTCATCTGCATAAAATTAATCCAACCCAGGGGAATTGGAAGGAGAGAATAAGGGTGCCAATCCTCTTCCTGGTGAGAACAGAACTCCTCTATGGATTGTCATAGATCTGCTCTGGAGAATTCAGTTTCATGGGTGAATAGGGCTGGGATGCAAGAATTTTCAGTTCCCTGGGAACTCTTGTAAAACTGCAAGAGTGGCCCTGTCTAGTTGCTGAATTTTAAAGAGGAAGAAATTAAAACCATTGTTTAGGAAAGAAGAGCGAAATGGGAGAGATGTTTCAAATAAAACAGAATCCGAGAAGAATGAAAAACTGTATCGCTACATATGGTGCTAGGGCAGGGGTGAGAAGCATGGGACTGAGACTCCGCGATCTCATTCTCACACAATGTGAGTCCTAATGTGTGACAGATCTAGTCTTTCTCAAATTTTTGCCAGTTAAGGAAGCCCTGATATGAAATGTGTTGTGTTGTTATTTATATGACAAATTGCTTATGGAGCAGAGCTCACAGTTGTACAGTTGTTTTGGTTTACCCCAAAACCTTTTTCCGTTTAAACAATTGGGAGTCAGAGATCCATGCCACTCTACTGCTGTTCCCCCAGAGATCTACCAGCAGTGTCCCTTCTGCCCTTTTCTGTTCATCTTCCTGACTTCAGCCCTTGCCCCAGACCAATACCTATTACTACTTTTTGCATGCATACAGGACATGTACCCACCATTTCTTCCTCTTAAGAACACCTCCTCATGAACTCACACATTTTCCCAACAGTTCATGCCAACATTCATGCTTTCTTTGGGTGGAGACAACTAAACACTTAAAAAGCAAGAAGTTGCTCTTTGAAGGGAAGTTGCAATTGCTTTTGAGTTATGTGGGTATTAGTTTAGATCACAGACCTTGGCTATTTAAAATCCGGTCTAAATTTAATATGGACAATTAATAGTGAGTTTCTGTGGTTTGCCAGCTGAGCAACTGTTGCTGGTATTTTAAAATAAATCGTCCTCCAATAACAAACTCGAAATAACAATAGCCAGAGGCATTAGAGGTTTGGCAGGAATTTCCCCCCATGAATGCTAGTTCTCTCTTAATCTAATCTGCCCTTGGTCTTTGCTATGAACATCTGTGGCTGCTCTTCAAGTACATCCTGGAAGAATATTTATATAAAAACACAGAAATGAAATAAAATCCAAAACCTCTAGTCAGGAGCATTTAGCAACAAAAGAACTGATGTACACCAACACCCATGAAAATATGTTTCAATCATGACCTTGTCCGGCAGTTGTAGGATAGTAAATTAGGTTTGTTATCTTAATCTAGAGAGTTGTTTTGCACTTTTCCAGTCTTGTGGGAGATTGATCTGGGAATATAATGAGCTTCTGGGAAAGAACCATGAGAATCAGTGAGGTAGTATGGAGCTTAATGCTGCTCCATGATCAAGGAGATTTGAGTTCACCTCCCACCAGGCCATGAGACCAATTAGATGGGCTTGGGCCAGTCCCACCTTCTCATCCTACTTACAAGATAAAGATGGGAGAGGATGAACTACCGTATTTTTCGCTCCATAAGACGCACCTCTCCATAAGACGGACCAAATTTTTAGGCAAAGAAAACAGGAAAAAATAATCTGGGAATTTTGCTCCATAAGACGCATACACTTTTTCCCCAATGTTTTTTTGGAAAAAAAGTGCGTCTTATGGTGCGAAAAATACGGTATGTATTTTGACCTGACATTTGTAGTAGGGCAGGATGCAGATGCTATAAAGAGGTATGCTTTCATTTTCAAGGGAAACATTGGGTCGGGGGGGGGCTTCCTAGGCTATCTCATAATTGATTTCATTTCCCCGTACCTCAACTACTTGCATTCGCAGAGATGCCATTGTATTGATTGGTTTGCTAAACAAGCATGACATGTTTTCTTGTCAGTATAATATTGGTTAGGTTGCATGAATTCATAGATAAAATAAATGGATATATGCTTTTAAATCTTTGCATCTTAAGTGATAACTGGAAGAGGACCATTGTCCTGTTAATGGGTTTCATCACATAACCAAAGACTGATCTAGTTGCATGCAGGCTTAGTCCCAGATGACAAATCTTACTGAAGAGAAAATGAGGCAGCCAAACTTTACATTGGTGCTTAATTCAAAACAACTGCCACAATTCATGCCCTTTCTGTACCCAGGGTCACAGAGATGCCTAGTTAACACCAGAACTGACTGACATGATTCTTGTTAGTCCAGGGGCTCTCTGGCCATAACCTTCTTAAGGTGAATTATAGTAAGATGGCACCAAGCCATAACAAGGCTTGATTGACCAGAGTTGCTGAACATTGCTGTTATTCGCCATTATATCGTTTCTAATTTACAGTAATCCCTATGAATTAATGACCTGCAAAATGTCCTGTCATTAACTCTCTTGCTCAGATCTTAAACATTCAAGGCTGTGTCTGCCTTTATTGAGCCAGCCCATCTGATGTTTGTTGTTTTTTTCCTGTGAGTCTTGTCTTCTTGTGATAGGCCCAAAGTATGATCGTCTCAATTTAAACATTGATATTTTTAGGGAGAGTTCAGGCTTGATTTGATCTAGCACCCTCTTACAGTCTTTTAGGCTGTTTATCTGTAAAGCCTCCAATGCCATATTTTAAATGAATCGGGTCTTTTTTCTGTCAGCTTTCTTCACTGTCCAGCTTTCATAGCCCAGAGCAAATTCAGAAGCTACCCATAATAGCCCACATCAAGTAGAATAATTTTAAATTATGGAAATGATAGCATTTACAGTTAAAACATACAACAAGTCCTTTCAAAAGGTAACGCTTGTCACATTTATGGTTTCTTTTCTATGCAAAGGTTTCTCTTTTTATAGACAACTGGGTCGAACTAAAGTCCAAACAGGTATGACCCACATTGTAGCCCTGTATGATAGAAAGCCATACCTTCTGTTTTCTAAAAAGTGCCTTGTTTTAGACATCAACAGTGAACTCCACGAATCAGATAGTTTTGAACTGATACATAGCAGCCACCCTACATTTCCACTCCCCCTGAAGGATCAGGTGTGTAGCCTTGGTGTGTTGTTGGATCCGGCCCTCTCAATGGAGAACCAGATCTCAGTTGTGGCCAGTTTAGGATCTTGTTACCTGGCTGAGCACCTGTCTCTCGAAACATCTATCTGCCCCACCCGCATCTCTCATATCGGGAGGCTTCAGATGGCCACTCTGAAGGGAGGCCAAAAATCACTCACTCGAAACTAGGCTTTCTCTGTGGTGGTTACTTCACTTTGGAACTCCCTCCCACCAAAGGTACGATTAGCCCCATCTCTCTCCTGCGTTTTAGGAGGCAACTAAAGACCTGGTTGTTTTCGCAAGCCTTTCAATAGTTTGGCCCTAAATAAGTAATTTTATGTATCCCTTCTGCTGCCAGACTGCCATTAATTTTCACGGTTGTTTTATTGTTGTAGTAGTAGTTGTTTATGGCTTTGTGTCCTTCTGTTAGCTGCCAGAGTAGTAGCCTGGCTACTAGTTGGGTGGGATATAAAAGTTAATAAACAAATAAACAAATACATTTAAAACTGTACAGTTATTTGGAGATGAACTGGCTCATGGTACAAGCTGACCTGGGGGGGGGGGGGGAGTTCATTCCAGGGGGATAGGGTAGGGGAAACACACACACATACACATGCCTATTCATCCCTCAGCTGTCCATAGGAGAGGCAGTTGTCCAATAAGGGTTAAATACTGTCTTATCAAAGAGTCATATTGCTGTCTACAAGAGAGAATCTTAGCAATGCAAAGTGAGAAGGAAAAAAGCAAAAGTTCATGAGACTGAAAGCTCAACCATAGGCTCTACTTGGCCTGGGACCTAACATTTTCTTTATTTGTTTTAAAAAGAGTTATAGTGTAGTAAACATGAATGCAATTTTTTTAAAAAAAGAGAACAGCATATATTATAGGTCTACACTGCACAGTATGATTACTCATTTGAAAAAATTAATAAAATCATAAAATTCAAAGGGATTTTGTTCAGCTTCTGGTTAAATGTATTCAGTGAAGAAAAATTCACTGCCTCCCAAAGCAGTCTGTCTCATTGTTAGGAAATTAATCCCTGTCATTAGCTGAGGTCTCCTTGCTTCCAGCTTCCACCCATTAGTCTTACCCTCTGAACTAAAGTCTCCTCTATTTGTGTAAATTAGCCTTGGCTGTGGGCATTCTAAACATGCCCATTTAACAAAATCTGAGGTCCAAGTTATATGTTATAAATAATCGTCCATTAGAAACTGATATTCAGTTGAATATCAGGAAAAACTTCCCTAACTATCAGAGCAGTACGACAGTGGAACCAATTACCTCGGGAGTTGGTGAGTGCTCTCTGGAGGCATTCAAGAAAAACTTAGATAATCACCTGGCATATAAGCTTTGATTGTATTCCTGCACTGAACAGGGGGTTGGACTTGATGGCCTTCTAGGCCCCTTCCAACTTCACTTTTTTATGATTTCTATGATTTTGTGAAGAAGTAGAAATGGCACCTAACCAATCTAGGTCATAGTGCCTAGTGCTCAAAGCCAGCTCAGTTGTTTTGGCACATGAGGCAGAAAATCCGTTGAGCATTTATCCCCATCTGCAGTTGATAAAAGTACAATAATAACACATTAAATAGCAAATAATTTGCTCTCCTTTCATGATACCCCATGTCTGTTGTCTAATAGGAGGGTCAGTCCTTGTCTTCAGCTGCCATTAAAAAATCATGTCACATTTTTACTCATTTATCATTGTTCTAAAATTGGATACTGCTTGTTTATCTGTTAACTCTAAATATGCTAAAGGAAGCAGCAATAAAACATCTTGAATGTTGCTGGAAAACCTATGTGCTCTTAATGGTAAGAAAGAAAATAATCAGAAACAACCTAGGCATGGCTGCTGAAACACTAGATTGATAGCACAGAAATAACTTCAGATTTATGTCCTCAATCCCATTATTGCCTCACCATTCATAAATGTGTTGGCAAAATTAAGGGAAATAAAAAGAAGAATTTAAAAAAAAAATTGAAGGGCATTTGTTTACAGAGGGAAGAACACATAATTAATTATCTACATTAAGGAAATTTGTACAGTATCAAAATTCAGACTTCTATTTCTACCATTTCTCCCTTCCTTGAGCTCAGGATTGTACATAATATGTTATTGTCTTTTATCTTCAAAACAAATCACTGATATAAATTAGACTGCAATTGACATTTATCTTGAGTACAGTATAGATTTGATCCTAGCCCACCCCTTTCAATGTGAAATGCCTTGTTCATTGTAACACACTGATTTACAGAATGTTAGGCTGATCTGAAAATACTACTAAAGCAAACTAAAATGAAATGCTGAACTCAGACTAAAAATTAAGCAGACAGCTTAAAGGAACAAATATATTTTGTTTTGATCAGAAAGAGTGTAGTATAGCTCTACACAGGTCTACTAATTGTCTTAGCTAAATATGATTTGTTTCTTAAAGTCCCAAACTATATCTGGACTTAAAAAAAACCTCCTTGGGTTTGCTTTCTGAGTATGTTCTGGTTACAAAATGCAAATACAAGAGAAATAGCTAGGGATGAGAAATGAAAACTTAGCTTATGGCTATAATTCTATAGATTCTATAAAAGCTGTACCTGAGAGTAAGCGCCAGTGAACATGGTAAGATTTACTTTTCAGTAAACATGTGTAGGATTACACTGTACAATCCCATATATGTTTTTAATTTACATGTATATCTGTAAAAGCAAACTGGAAATAAGAAGTTAAAAAAAAAAGACAAAAATGTGATGGTACCTTAAAGACTGACTTCCATATTTTTAACTCTCAGGGACATAGCCTGATGAAGTGTACTTGTACACAAAAGCTCACATTTTTAAAAAAAGTTATTCTTTAAGGTGCCACCACCTTTTTGTCTCCTCTTTTTTTTTTTACTTTTTTTTCTGTTTTGCTTTTTCCTGTAATGCTTGCACAGACGTAACACGGCTATCCCTTCTACAGCTACATGTATATCTGTGACACACACAATACTGTTTTGTATTGATTTTAGGTGACTTAGAGAAAAATGGAAGGATAACAGCAACAGCATTTGTTTTCACCCCTTTCTCTGTTTTTTTCTTTATTTCCTTCCTTCTCAGATTTTGAACAGCCGTTCATTAATAAACCAGAGACTCTTCTTATCTACAAAAAAGAGAATATCCGTGTTCCATGTCTGGTGTCCATTCCAGATCTTAACATCACATTGTTCCTGGTAAGAAACAAGGGTCTCACTAGAATTGCTTGGGACTCTGCCTTGTTTCAGCCTTACCTGCTTGAAGAAGAGCAGAGAAGATGATGCCAGAGGGATGAGGTGGGAGCGGGGGCATGCAGAGAAGCAGAGCAGGAATCTGCTAAATCTATTATCTTTGAAAATCCTTTGTGATTTTTCCCAGTTACATTTGCAGTCCTTTGGCCTTCACTTTGGTCTTTGTTCTCTCTTACACTGCTATCTTCACCATTCCTGGGAGTTACTCTACAAAATGTTAATGATTTTTGCATGGAGGTATGCTCCAGCATTATATAGAAATTCTGGGGGTGGAGGAAGTAGAAATCCCAGGGGAGCAAGGGATACATTTCATGCATATTTAGTTCTCCCTAATGTTTCTGTTCTGGGCATGCCCCACAGCATCTTAAGCACCTTTGCATTTCTGGAAGTTATTCTGCCTCTCTGCAGATGGCAGGGACCATCTCAAACATGATGGGCAGAGACCACTCCAGCCTCGCTACCGGAAGGCGCTTCAATATTTGACATGAAATAACCCTTCACAAAATTGGAGAGGGCTGAATTCCTACAGGAGTGACAGGAAACTATGGAAAGGAGCAGGATGCTACTGCATGCTTCTTGAATATTTCCTTCCATAAAATGTGGAAGAAAAGAGTAGCTTTGGAAGGCTACAGCCAAGATTGCCTTCAAGAGTTTCTAAGGGTGATGCCAAGGGTACCCTGTGCAAAATGTAACCCTCTCAGTTTCATGAAAGGTGCTCTCTCTCTCTCTTTTTCCCCTAAGAGCTGGTACAGTCTGCTTGGGTGAACCATAGCCCAGTGTCCCCAACCTTATCATCCACTTTTTCTTCTTCCTCCTCATTCTAAATAAACACATGAGGGGAAAAATTATTCAGAGTAAAATTATTCTCTGGATACATGTAAGGAATATGTGGAAACAGCTGGGAAGAAAAATACACCTGTGGTAACAATCCATAACATAAAACATTTTTCCATAGGTTTGTTTTTTTTCAGCAAATGTGTGAAACATTAGAATTCACTCATCAGAAGAAATAGAGATGGAACGGTTGTGACAATGACTATGTGTTTCTAAAGAGTTTGGTTCTCTTTTGTTCACTTTCTATCTCTAGCCCACCTCTGTCATCCACCCAGATGGGAAGAGCATTTTCTGGGACAACAAAAAAGGAATGTTGGTCCCCACTGTACTGATCAAGGACTCCTTGTTTGTTCAGTGTGAAACTCTCATTGACAAGAAGCACTTCAAATCCAGTTTCTTTCTTGTCCACATTGCGGGTGAGTTTTGGAACACGAGCTCTTCAGTCCCAAGGGACAATCTCTTAAAAATGGTTATGCAACAGCAGCTTTTCCCTCAATGACGCTTAAAGTAGCTCTTGCTATAATACCTTTGTATTGAGGCTCTAGAATTGATGTCAACAAGGAGAGTATTTTCATGTGATGTTTAAATCAGAGCTTGAAAAAGTTAAAATTTTGGACTGCCATTTCTAGAATTCTGGGAATTTTATTCTGGGAAAAAAATGACTTTTTAAATTTCTGGGATTAATATTTTGCCCAATGGGAAGGGTGAGGATCCACCTACTCAGTTGTTTTCAGGCTATATTCTAATCAACTGTAAATAAGATTAAACTTTGGTGTCATCAGGACAGAGGTTCTTTTTCCTGGATTGTGATGGTCTTGGCTTTGGGCAGTGGACATCAATTAGAGCATAGTTATATGGGGGGGGGAACCCTACCAGAAGTAGGTTTAGCAGGCTTTAAATTGATATTTTTAAAAGTGACTACAAGGTGTACATGGAAGCACTGGGTGTGTTGTTATTGTTGTTGTTGTTGCTGTTGTTGTTGTTGTTTTTGCCACGGAATCATGTTATTTTACTCTTCTTCCAAAGGACTGTTTATTTTAACTCAAATGTCAAATTCATTTATTTTCAATTGTTTCAGCATACGTGCACATTTCTCTTAGTGTCTATGTCTCTTGCCTTGCACCAGCTGCCTCTCACAACCACTAGCCGCTGCTGCTGTGGGGTTATTTCAGGGTTTTTTCTTTAATTGCTTGCTCTCTGAAATAGTACAGTATAAATTGATATTTTTAAAAGTGACTACAAGCTGTACATGGAAGCACTGGGTTTGTTGTTGTTGTTGTTGTTGTTGTTGCTGTTGTTGTTGTTGTTTTTGCCACGGAATCATGTTATTTTACTCTTCTTCCAAAGGACTGTTTATTTTAACTCGAATGTCAAATTGATTTATTTTCAATCGTTTCAGCATACGTGTGCATTTCTGTTAGTGTCTATGTCTCTTGCCTTGCACCAGCTGCCTCTCACAACCACTAGCCACTGCTGCTGTGGGGTTATTTCAGGTTTTTTTCTTTAATTGCTTGCTATCTGAAATAGTACTAGCATGACATGATGGATAGTAGGGGAAAGCAGATCAGACTGCAGACTTCCAGTTTCTGTAAGTCAAGCCGTCTGTAAGTCAAAGGTCCACTGTACTAGCATGACATGATGGATAGTGGGGGAAAGCAGATCAGACTGCAAACTTCCAGTGCATTCCAACAGGTACACACAGAGACAGGCAGGCAGGCAGGCACGCGCATATGCACACACGTGCGCGCGCAAGCGGACAGGCAGGCAGGCAGGCAGGCACACACATATGCACACACGAGCGCACACGCACACACACACACACTTGGGGGGGCAGGATTGTTGAAGGAGAGAGGATCCATGTGTCCAGTTGGTCAGAGGGAACACACACCAGTGAGAGAGGAACTGACAAGAGAATTTTACAAGATAGGGAGCTTCTAGGCTTGGGAAGGAGGAAGCGCTTCACAAAAAAGGCTGAGCTGTGTCTAACTGTTTTTCTTATGGCCTTAGGGAATGAACTTTATGACATCCAGTTGTCTCCAAAGAAAGACATGGAACTACTAGTGGGAGAAAAATTAGTTCTGAACTGTACAGTGTGGGCCGAGTTCAATTCAGGAGTCGATTTCCAGTGGGATTACCCTGCTAAACAGGTATGGACTAACATTTGCCTTGTTGATTCCTAGCTTCTGTGGGAGGTGCGTGCTTCCACTTTTTTAAACATTCTGGATCACAAAGCAAAAGAAGAAGCCCAAATTCATCCATAAAATAATATATCTAATTGCACTGATATAATCGTATTCACCACACCCACCCATCCCTGTCATGTTGGCCTACAGCTTTCATTCCCCCTGCCCCTAATTTGTGGATAGAGAGCAAAAAAACTAAAATTATCTCTTCCCAAACAGATGGCAATTCAGTCCATTTCTAAACATGCTATAGCTCAGAATATTCTTGAAATCTGTCTCTCTGTATTATCACTGTATGCAGGCAAGGATCTTATAGACAGAGAAACTAATCTGGTCACTAATTACTCATTAACTATATGCTCCCATACAAGTATGTAAGTGATAGCTAACCAGGGCAGTTTTGCTCCTTGAAACATTTTATCCATCTTGGGAAAGAAGGTCACAGTGAGAGCACGGCAGGTCCATTCCTAGCATTAGGTAAAGTGAGGTGGTTGATTTGAGGGAGCATGAACTGGCGGCAACTTATTAGTCATTTGTAATTGCACTATTTTTACTGCCAAAGGAAAAAACAGAAACTTGTATGACTTTATATCTCTAGCACCAAAATTGCTTGATCAGCTTTATATACAATGCATATTAACTTACAGTCCTGGGGTGATAGAGAACAACAAGCAAGCTTTTTCCTCTCCTAAAGCCGTACCTGTTTATTCCTTTTTCTTTTACCACCTGTTCCTGGCAGATGAACCGGAAAGTCATAGAACAGCCTGAGAGGCGATCCCAGCAGACACATACCGAGCTCTCCAGCATCTTGATCATCCAAAATGTGAGCCAACAAGACCTGGGAAAATATACGTGCATGGCTAGCAGTGGGGAGCAGGACTTGAAGGAGAGCATAGATGTCATCGTACATGGTAAAAACCATTAACTCAGGCTATAGAAAACTTTTAGGTGCTTTAGGTATTTTACAACTTAAAATTAACCAGTCTGTTAAAGAAACAATGGAGATGGTCAAATAAGCTGAGTTTCATTTAATGAAAGAATCACCAGATAAAGGAGGCCCTGGATACTGCCCCTTTATCCTCTGTTGCTAATAAGCACATTATTGAGGAACATGCTATACATTCTGTATGTGTGGCCTGGAAGAGCAAGTGTCCCCACCAGGCAAAAATGAAATATATATTCATAGAAGTCGACTTTCCGTGTATGACTTAATTCAGAATCATGCAGTAACCAGTACTTTATTGTTCTCCAGGTAAGATGTAATGGGAATTCTCTACCACTGAAATGTTAGATTTTCCCTTATAAGAAATAGCCTGCTCATTTTTATAATGGCAGAATGGCTTGTGAATTGACTGTGAAACTAGTCACCTTCCTTCCTTATACCTGTGTCATTCTCCAGGAGACCTGTGGTATAGGCTACCATTACTCCTACCAAGCACATTTTTGGTTGAGCTGAGAAGTTGTGGCTAGAAGGGTGGTAAATGTTCCATTAAAATCCTCATCCAATTATACATCATTGGTAGGACAGCAATGCCAGCCTGTATGAAAGATAGATCCAAATGGCACTGTCTCTCCCTGGCATAAACTGACCATCACACACAATTTTTGTGCCTGGAGAATAGAGCAAGAGCACCATCCAGCATCCAACAGATGCATGTGTGGTTATTTTCTTTACAGTCCGTGCTTCTGCTTTGTGTATGGATTAATAATATCTCTTGCTTCAGATTATTTGACAGTTTTCACTCTGCCTCTCCTTCTTTCTGCTTTATCTGCCTGGTTTTACAGAGAAGCCATTCATCAATGTGGAGTGGAGGAAGGGCCCAGTGATAGAAGCAACAGCAGGGGATGAAAGCGTGAAGCTGCCAGTGAAAGTGGTTGCCTACCCTCTCCCTGAGTTCCAATGGTAATGCAATTTGTCTTTGCACAATTTGTCTAGCAGGCATGGGGGGGGCGTCCTTTGCAGAGAAGAGGAAGAGCAAAAGAGAAAGACCATTGCTGTTAATAAGGATTCTTGCCAAAATGTATGTTGCAAGGAAAAAACCCTCTCCTCCCACAAGAAAACGTGTCAAGAAAAGCAGTTGGCTTTGGACCTCTACATCAGAAATCGAGCTTTTCCCACTGTTTTTGACTGTGTTATCCTTTAGCATGTCTCATTAGCAAATGCCTTATGTGATGGACAAGCTCCAGAGGAGGAGGCAGAGTAATAAATGTTATTCTACAACTTCCCGCACTTCGTAGCTTCTTGGCAGACGTTAGAGTTGGGACAGGGCATGTCTTTCATTATTAAGTCTCTTGCCAAACACACACACATACTGTACTCATAGTCCCACCCACATTTCCCATAGCTATATGACATCTTCTGCACTGAGCTGAGCCTTTTCCAGCTGAGGGATAGTTGTGGAATCTGGTACTGAAGCAGCAACTACTCTGGTCTGGACGTGTATATCCTCTGCCATAGTAGGAATGAATGATAATCAAACTCCTGTAGGCTGTCACATTCTGATCGACCAAATGCAGATGAAACGACATGAAAAAGAAAGCCCAAGAGATGGGTTCCAGCTTCATCCTGTGTACATCCGAGTGTGCTGTGTGCTATTTTTTTTTTCCTGGTCACCGAACCGAATGCCATTAATGGCAATTCTAAAAGATAACCAGAGGAAAGTGAAGAGTTGAGCTGCAAGATGCCCACAGGTCTGAAGAAATAGTGTAATCCATGAAACCACAGTCGGAAATAAATTTGTTAGTCTTAAAAGTGACATTGAACCAATTGCTCTCTCTCAGGGCCTGATCCCACTGACAATGACCGCCCCCCCCAATTGTACCAGATTCTGCTTTAAAAGGCGACATAAATTTAAGTGTAGACATGAGGCATGTACATGCTTGGACTGCTGTGTCAGGGGAGCAAATTTTTCTACTCCCCTCTTAGAAGTCTGTTTATTTTGGGGTGGATGTGAACATGTAAATCCCACATTTGTGAATGCCTCTGCCACTTGGTTTTTTTTTAATCCTGCTGTCTGATATAGCACTATTATCTGATAGCAGAAAATTTAAAAATAATAATAAAAGTAACCCCCATGGCTTGCCCACCCCTCAGTCACCTGTCCCCATACCCTCCCACCTTTACCCCTTGTCCCCTCCACTTTTACTCCTTCGCCTCTTGTACTCTTTCCCCTCCATTCACCGCCCCCTCCTCCCCAGCCACCCGATCACTGCTGCCTATGACTAACTTTGTTTTTTTCAGGCAGCGTGGGTGGTGGAGGCCTCCACCAAGGTGGTGGATTCTCTATGCGGCTTTTCCCAAGCAGCTGGAGGGCCAACCATCAGCTGATCAGTGCTGCACCTGAAAGCCACAAGAAGCTGCAGAGCCACATCCCCCGACTGGGATTGCAGAAGCGGGATTTCCTACCAGCTGGGGAATTCAGCTCCACTGCTTCTCCAGCTTCCCAGGCAGCACCAATCAGCTGATGGTCAGCCCTGCTCACAAGAATGCGAACAGCGATTCAAAGCCATGTGACTGTCCCATAGTTTTTCAATTACTATCAATTGCCTCACTGCATGCAGCAATGCAAATGAACAACGTTGATTCCTTCTCAGTCTGATTGGGCTGCTGTGAGAAGATGGGGGAAGGAGAAGAGCCATGTATGCCACTCTGAGCTCACTGAAGATAAAACAGGATATAACAGGATGACTTTATTCCATTTGCCATATCAATGTGTTTTTAGTTACTTTCATAGTTATGGGAAATGGCTTCACTCCATATGCAATGTAAAAGTAACTTCTAAGTTTTTTATTATTTTTAGATGTGGAAGGAGAAATATCATAAAGTCTTGCTTATGTGGTGTATCATGGTATTGTCTCATGCTCTCTTGAGTATATTGAGTTGATTATAAGATAAACTGGAAGGGAGTGGGTGTTTTTGCCACAGGCCAGTGGATTGTAGCCATTAATTAAATAAAAAGTAACTTTAAGTACTTCTGGGAAGCAGGGAAAGTAGAGTTTATTTTTAAAAAAATGTAACGACAGTGCTAACTAATGACTTAAGCCATGGAACTATAATGATGACCAACTTCTTTTTAAAAGTTACCTTCCAGGGTCTGAAATAAATGGCCAAAACATTTAGTCCTTGATGATTGTTAATGTTTTTCTTTTGATCAGCAAATAGAGTCAGCTTCTCCTAGTTGGAAATGAGTGCGTCATTTTTTAACCAGTTCCTAATGTCATCATTTGAAGTCCTGTGGTTGTCTTCTCAGAAGGAACATGACAAATAATTCATATGCATCTTTTCTTTCTTTGCTTATACCCAGGTTCAAAGATGGCAAGTTAATATCCAACAGACAATCTCAGTATTCCCTGCAGATCAAAGATGTGGCAGAGCAAAATTCTGGCTCATATACATTGGTCCTGAAAAACAGACCAGCTGGACTGGAGAAGAGCATTAAACTCCAACTGATTGTTAATGGTAAAAAGGGAACAGATAACCAGTGGGATTCTAATAGGAAGAAGGCTCTGAAGCACCTGAGAGCCTGGCAGCCATTTTGTCTCTGAAGAGTGCCTTTCATAAATAATCCCACGAATCGGAACACTCTTGGGACTAAATTAGACACAGCACTGTTTAGCCTTGCAGTGTTGCTGTATTTTAAATAGATTGTAGTAGAGGGGACTGAACTAAATTGGGATGTTGGTGTGTGGGAATGGAGGTAGATGTTTGAACATTTTGGACAAGAAATGTCATGTCACACGTTACAGTACACATTACAAGGAAAAGAGGATGAAAAGATACAGAGTAATGGAGTTACATCACTCTTGCAGCATCTAGCGGACTTAACTCACAAGATTGTTATGAGGACAAAATTGGCTAACTCTGTTTCTTGTTGGAGCAAGGGCAAGACACAATATTAATAAAACAAATTAATAAGCTTGAGCACAATTAACAATGTGCCCCTTATATAGGTTGCTAGCAGCAGTGCGAGAACTTATAGAAGATGTGCTGCCTACAGAAGCTATATCGTTGTCTGTGTACTAAAGGCAACCAGGAATGCAAACCATCCGTATTTGAGATATCTGACAGATTGGACTCGTGAAATCATACACTATAATAAATGTGTCATTGTGCCACAAGATAAGTGGGAATTCCTGATCTGGTTTCCCCTCACGTGGTTTACACAGCCACATAAAGTGCCCTCTAGATGAAGCTCCCACGGCCTACAGAAGAATGGCCAAAAGGCAACTGAGGGAAGAACATGGCTGTGGGGAAGGGTTTCACCTGCCTACCTGTTCCTCCACCCTTTCCAGTGTTGTGGATTTTGGCCGTGCCCAGGTTGAGACATATTGAGTGTATGCCCCTCAACAGCAGAAGGAAGGGTGCCAAAATGTGTGAGAAACATGAATAGAGGAACAAAATTCATGGGGTCTCCTTCTGACAAAAGGCCCTGCAATCTTATGTCACCAGATAGGAAAAAGCTGAAACATGTAAGACTGCCTGGAGGTAGTCTATCATCCGTATTATCCCAGTAGTCGCATCTCTGACAAACTTGTAGCCAAAAGACAAAAGGGGAAATAACAAAACCTTTATTTGTTTGTTTCCTGTTCATCTATAGCAGTTAACAGAGGCCCCTCAAGCATGTGACATAATGTCCTCCTCCTCCTCCTCATAACAGCAATCTCCTGAAGCATCAGAGGCCAACATGTGCTGCTTTTCTAAAGGAGATGAGGGCAGCTACTAGCAGCAGTATCTGCATCATGAAGTTCAGGAGACCTGGGAGAAAGCATTGGGCAGCTAGAGGGTTGGTGAAAGGAATAACACCAACAGTTCTCCCAGAGTACTGATTACCAAGACTCACACAGACACAGACACACACACACACACACAGACACACACACACACACACACACACACACACTCACACAAAATCCATGTTTCTATTCTTCTGATTTCAGTTCCTCCTCAAATCCATGAGAAAGAAGCATCCTCACCAAACATTTATTCCCGAAAAAGCCGGCATGTGCTCACCTGCACCGTCTATGGCATCCCAGCACCAGAAAGGATCCAGTGGCAGTGGAGGCCTTGGACACCCTGCCGGATGTTCCCCCGACATACTCTGTGAGTGGCTTTCTTCCTTGAGTCTTTACTGGATTCTTAATGCTGCAGCAGGAGAGGAAGACCTTTGTATGGGCCTTTAAACCCATGCACATGGTATAACCAGGATTTGGAGCATTACTGTCTAACTTTCATGGCGTGATCAGGGTGACGCAGGAAAGAACATCTGTCTTGCTCCAGGAATGAATGAACTGGAGCATGAGGTGGATCTTTCTGTTAGACTGCTCAAGGAGTAACACAACATGTTGGATTGAGAGCAGGGAATGACACAGGCTTTTCTGGTGAATAATGCGATATGCTGTTTATGCTGCTGGTTCAGGACCAAATTAGGTATGATGGAGATCTGTAAAGTGGATGTTCCTGTAATGATGATGATGATGATTACTGTGTTTCCCCGAAAATACAGGGTCTTATATTAATTTTTGCACCAAAAAATGCATTGGCGCTTATTTTCAGGGGATGTTTATTTTATTTCCATGTACAACAATCTACATTTATTCAAATACAGTTATGTCATCTTCTTCTGGTTGCTGCACAATGGTGGAGGGCAGGGTTTTCCTTAATTAGCAATTATTTTTGGGGTAGGGCTTATATTACAAGCATCCTGAAAAATCATACTAGGATTTATTTTCAGGTTAGGTCTTATTTTCGAGGAAACAGTATTATACTAACCTTTGGTATGGAAAACTACAGATGTGTTAGTCAGTTGGCTGTAAATGCTGAGATACAGATGTCAACAAGTGCACTTCTCACAGCTAGACAGAAATGTGAAACGACCTTCTGTTCCCTTAGCCTAATTTGGGGGAAGGGGGGTTGTCAACGAGTGCTAAGAATTACCAGGTTGAGAATGATTTTTTTTTCCAAAAGCCAGGCAAGTACAGATGAATTCTGGGCATACAATGTTTTATTTGGATAGTAATGACACACAGCATCAGTATGGAACTGCATTCATTGTAACAAACTATGTTAATTGCTGCCAGTACAAACTTCATTCTGTGCCCAGACGAGAAACTGCTTGCCCTAGAAGAGACAAATCCCACAGACATCATTGCCATACAAGTACCTGCCCCAAATGACAATAAAGATGAAAGCACAGAAAAATTATGTGACAAACTCAGAATTGTTTAAAAAAAAACATACAAAGAGCAAGACACAACTTTGAGTATGGAGGATTTTAATGCTAAGAGAGTGAAAGTATCTGGTAGAGATTTTGTTGGGAAATATAAACTAGGGATATGAAAATGAGAATGAATTACACAGTTTTATGCAGAAGAGCTTGTAATTACCTATGACGCATTCGGATTATCACCTGGAAATTGGTACATGTGGAAATCCTTGCAAGACAGTGCAAACAACATTACTGTTGTAAGGAACCAAACAGGTTGTAATGTGGTTAATTAAAGATACCAAAAGTGTTAAACCAATGAAAGCATATAGGAGAGCTGCCATAAATTCAGATCATAACCTTGTCGTTGCTGTAGTTCACTTTAAATTAAAATAAGAAGGAAAGAAAGGCAAAACAAGAAAGGAGAAAAACTTATCCAGCTATGTGTACTATTGGAAAGGAACAGATTCATGAAGGCATTCATATGATTGCACACTTTGATAGCTCAGTTATAAATATTCTTTTTTCTAAACTGAAAATGGTATTAATTGATATGACAAACACCACCAGCCTCAAATGTAGCAGTGTAAAAAAAGAAGTGGGTGACAGAGAAAATATTAATGATTAATATGGGATTTTCCCCATTAAAATAGATTTTTTTAAAAAAAATCAAATACAGAGAGTTACACAAAAATACCTGGAACAAAATTAGGGAAGCCAAATTTCATCAATATGCACAAATGAAAAACCAGCAAAGATTCACCACTCCTTTCTTCTGTGTAACAAGACTGATAACTCAGCAGGTATATTAGAAAAAAATGGCAGTGCCAACTACTCTTGGGTAGAAACAGTTCTCTCATACTTGACACCAAGGGTAAAATTGTAATATGGTGTGATTATATTAAAGAACTGTTCAAAAATGACAGGTCTATTGACAAATATTGATAGTGGAATAGAAATACAAACATCCAAAATGCAATGGACAGCGAAGTTCTTGAACTCAGTGCTTTCACAGAAATGTTACCGCTGATAATAAATCACAGTCAAACATTTTAGTGGATCTTTTCAATTAAATCTACAGAACAAGAATTGTTCCTCAGATGTGGATGAGATCAAGCTTTACAGTGGGGTCTTGACTTGAGAACTTAATCCGTATTGGAAGGCGGTTCTCAAGTCAAAAAGTTCTCAAGTCAAATCTGCATTTCCCATAGGAATGCATTGAAAACCATTTAATCTGTATCTGCTCTTTTCCGTCCATAGAAACTAATGGGAAGCTGCTATTCCGCCTTCGACCACTAGAGGGGGATATTTTGTTTCTTTTTTTCTTAGGTCAAGAAAGGTTCAGGGAAGGCAGGGAAAATACAGTCCAGGCAGGCCAGTACCAGGCAGTCTGAAGACTGTCTCCCAATCCACTCTCTAAACGCTGGGCGGAGTGAGGAAGCAGACGGGCACCCTTTTCACTGGCCAACAGTTAACTGAAAGTTCAAATCTTGCACTTTCCCTGCCTCCCACGTGGTTTTTTTTCAGTTCTTAACTCAAATCTAAGTATGTAAGTCAAGTCAATATTTTCCTATGAGAGCGGTTCTTAAGTCAAAATGTTCTTAACTCAAGTCGTTCTTAAGTCAAGACCCCACTGTATTACATTACCCCAAAAGGAAAATGCCAAAGTTTGTTGTGATTGCGGACTGATACATTTAATGAGCAATTTTCTTTAAAATGCTGCATCCAAAAGCAGAGTAACCGTGATGACATCTAGAACTGCTGGAGAGCTTAGTGGGTTTCGTCTCTTACTGCATAGCCAGATGTTGGGAGTTCAGTTCTCCACTGTGCCTCCCTGACAGGGACTGGACTTGATGAACCATAGGACTTCTTCTACCTCTACAGTTCTAAGACCACTATAAATTTTGGTCGAGAACAAGAAGCAGAAGCAGCCAGAGAACTCAAATTTGCACTGGAATAGAAGCAAACATGAATACAATGGTCAGTGACTGCCTGCACTTGGTAAAATAAATTCAGTTCACCATTTCATATACAGTGGTACCACGACTTACGAACTTAATCCATTTTGGAACGACATTCCTACGTTGAAAAGTTCATAAGTCGAAGTACCATTTCCCATTGAAATGCATGGGAACGGAATTAATCCGTTCCAGCATTTCAAAAGGCAAAAAGTCAGGGGGAAAGGGCTGGAAATTCCAATTTCTCACCCTTTCTCCCTTCCTTTTTGGCTTCGGAGGTCTCAAACGGCTTCTTCCGATGTTGGGGGGAAAGCCCTTTGAGACCTCCAAAGGTGCCGATCGCGGCAGCGGGGCCCCCAGGGAGGTCTCCCAGGGTTTGCCCGCCACCATGGGAGACCTCCCTGGGGGTCCCTGCCACCGTGATGGGCACCTTTGGAGCTCCCGAAGGGCTTCCTCCGATGTCGGGTGGAAAGCCCTTTGAGACTTCCGAAGGCAAAAAGGCAGAGAGAAAGGGCTGGAAATTTGAATTTCCCACCCTTTCTCCCTATCTTTTTGCAGGGAGCCATTTATGAATGGCTCCGTTTACAAAAAATGTAGGTCGAGCTCCATTCGCAAGTCAATGCCAATTTTTGCCAACAGAGCCATTCATAAATCGAAAAATTCGTATCTAGGGACGTTCGTAAGTCAAGGGTTCGCTGTAGTGAATATTCCAACATGAAATATAACTTATTAATAATACTTTTTCCTGCCTTTGCACACAACTTAACAAACTAGATGCTGGTTTGCCAACTGAGCTAGCTGCAATTTGTGGTGCCATTTAAGTGTTGTAGAGTTTTTCTAAAACTCTGAAACAATTTTTTTTGTCCTAATAATGTGGTGTCACTGACAGATAGGAATTCCCAGTGTGGTGTAGTGGGTAGAGTGATGAACTAGGACTCTGGGAAACAGGGTTCAAATCCCTGCTTGACTGTGAAAATTCACTGGGGTGTGGTACCACTCCTTAAATATATTACTTACCTTGAAAGTCCTATTATGGTCACTATATGGCAGTTCCAACTTGATGGCACAAAACACACACACGCAATGACAGAAAGAATGCAGATATCTACTGTTTGTGTGTCTGGGAACAATGCAAGTAAAAATTACCAAGTGACAGTTCTGTGACATTTCCTAAATGTTTGTTTAACTACAGAAAATGTATACCGCTGGTACAAATGTATTGAATAGAAAATAGTGACTCTACAGTTTAGTACCCTATTTAAAAGAAACAGAGCCACAGCATCAGTGGAATCTGTAGCAATATTACAGAGATACATCTCAATACCTTTGCTGCCTGCTGTAGCAATGTCCCATAAAAGCAAATCTGTCGGTGCCACCTATAATACATGCACCCAAGAATGTTTCAGTGACACTGCAACAGCTCACTCCAAGGGTGTTCCATATTTTTTTACTAGAGCTTCCAAAGTCCCTGACCATTTGTCATGCTGCCTAGAGCTCATGGGAAATCCAAATTATTTCCCAATATTATTTAGGAAGAACAGCACAAGTAGATAAGGTTTTCATATGGGAAAATGGAAGGTGATTTTCGAATTAGATAGGATCAGATTAATCATTGTTGCAAACAGACTTAGCAGAGACAAAATGAGAGCATATTTCATTCAGCTGGAAGTTGGCCTTTTTTTAAAGTTTAAAGGGAAATATGATTTTAATCTGGTTAGTTCCTCTTCAAAATATGTGGAAACATCCTTGGATGAGAACATCATAAGTAAATCATTAATGAAAACCTTTAGAATGTGTATTTGCAAATTATGCTATTTTAGAATACATTGTGGGTGTCAATACCTCTCAAGTTTTGCTTTAAAGATTACAGGGTTTGTTTTCACACACTATTCATCCTTCAGCTAAATAGCATAGCAGAAAGAATAATTCAAATGCTATAGGATTCTTAAGAAATCTACTCTTGACTCTTGACTGTATAAAGCTATACTTCAACTCACAGCAGAACTGAACTAAATATAGCTTTCTGAAGAATAACTGTGGAAGGTGAAAATTGACTTCCTGAGGGGCTTCCCACAGGTCAGTTAGTAGTCCCACCCCATGCTTATTCTTCAGTAAGCTGTGGGGCTTCCCACAGGTACCTGGTCAGCCTCTGCAGAAAACTGAACATTGGACAATAAAGGCCTTTGGCTGGACATAGAAGGGATTTCCTGACATTGTAAAAAGTATTTGTAAAAGATACAGGTTCACTTGCACACATTTGAGCAAGGGAGGCATCAGCACTGTCATTTACAATGTGAACGGATAACATTTGAAGTGCATGAAGGGCATCTGAACCTGGAGTAAAGCAGACAGAAACGTTGTTATGGTGAATACGCAAAGGCTTTAGCTCCTTTGTATGGGAAGCCCAGGGAGTTACCAAGGAAGTCTTGAACCCTTGACTGGCATCTCCTAGCGTACTTTGTTCACGTGTTCTGCCTGGGTTAGGAGACAAGATGACTTTCTTCCCTTTCTCTTGTTAGCATAGCGATCACCATAGTTTGTGTTCTATACCCACTTCAGACGAATCAGCTGTCGTGTTTGTTCTGGTCTGACTTTCACCCAATATTTTCCCTCTCAGTCAGTAGTTCCTGCTGCTTAACATTGAGAGAAATCATGGAGAAGCTTATACTGGTGGTTTTGGGGGTGTAGGATGCACCCATTGGAGTGTGTCAATGCTTTAATGGGTTATTTTATATAGAGGCACACTTCCATAAGGGGACTCCTGTCTAGAAGACGTTGTTGTGGAAGTGCTCTATGCAACAAGGACAATTAACAGAATTTCCACCTGTATTTGAGATCGTTAATGTGCAAGAGCCAAGCTGCCTCTTTTTCTCTGGCCAGCCAGCTTGGTAAGGAAGATTGGTTGTCACTGAGACAGGAAGAGGCCTGCAAGGTAAGAGAGAAATGTGGCAGGGAGCACCACTGACTCAGGAGGAAGTAGGGTGTCTGTAAAAATACCAATGCCATGAGTGTACTATTTGACTAGTTGAGGAAACAAGGGCACTTCCAGTCCCAGTAATGCTTTGTGGCCCTGTCAGGAAGAAGAGGAGCTGGTGAATTATGAGTACTGTCTCCCAAGGCCACAATGTTTCTGTTTGTACCAGCTCCAGAGGATGAGAGAGGCTTCATCACGATTTCCTGTTTTTTAAACACACTCGCTATGGTACACTAGTGCAGTAATATTCTCTCCACTTGTTGTTTCTCATATCTCTCTCCCTCCCTCCCTCCCTCCCTCTCTCCCTCTCTCTCTCTCTCTCTCTCTCTCTCTGTGTGTGTGTGTGTGTGTGTGTGTGTGAGAGAGAGAGAGAGAGAGAAAGAGAGAGGGGGGGAGGGAGGAAGGGAGAGGGAGAGAGAAAGAGTCTGTATCCTTGAGGGGACTGTCTTGAGGGGGTTATAGAAAACTCTCCTCCTTAACACCTGTATCCTTTGACCTTCTGCACCAATAGTTTGAACTCCTAAGAACAACCATATTGGTTCCTGGATTTTAAGAAAAACCCTGGTGGACAAGTGCTGTGGCCTATCAAGCCCTCCTGCTCCCCCACAGTCTCTCAGAGTCAGCCAGAAGCCAGGACATGAAGGCAGTAAAAATCTCTCATTTTTGCTCCATAAAAATGTGGTGTATGGCAAGTGGCACACTTCCTCTGAACACTGTAATGTTTGTCCAGCTCCATTCTCTGTTGCGTCTTTCCCTGCTCATAAGACCTTTCCGTTTCCCCCTTTCTTCTCCTGTTTCATGGCTTCTGGATGAACAGTAGCAAGCGGAGGTCTGTACGACGGCATCAGCGGGATCGGATGCCCGAGTGTAAAGACTGGAAAGATGTGTCGCAACTGGATGCTGTGAACCCCATTGAGAGCATTGACACCTGGACAGAGTTTGTGGAAGGAAGGAACAAGGTGAGGCCACTTCCCCATTTCCGTTCTATGTTGGAAAAAGGCAGGGGAGATTCACCTCAAACGGATGAGATGGAGCCATCTCAGGATCAACCATATGGGATTTCTTTTAACATGAAGTCAATTGGAATAAGGTCTGCCATGTGGTCAGTGAATTATGTAATTGTTTCAAAACATCTCCAGACAGAAATGTGTTATATTCCTCCTCCTGCCAAATGTGTATCTATATATTATTTTTGCTTCCTAAAATAAATAAATAAATAAATAAAGTATTGCGGAAGTGAACTGAGAGAGGGTATGATGAATGTGGTAGGGAAATTACTATGGTTGCTGTTACAAGCACATTAACGTATTACAAACCAAAAATCCTGTAATGCAATCAAGTCACTGTATTAAAAATGAGCCAAAAATGGTTGTGGGAGCAAAATGTGTACAAAGCTCTTATTTGAAGTGAGCAGTGTACAGATGTGCCCATCGGTGACCTGTGGGTCTCTGGGCCATCTAGCACGTCTTCTCAACCTTACAAGTTACTTTCCTTGCTAAATTCTTATAAGCTGTACATGCAAACAAAACTGTATTTTGTTGAAGTACCTTCATATTGCAAGTCCTTTCAGCAAAGGTCCTTTCAGCAATTTTAGATAAAAGTGTATTGCTTGGACGTTCACCCAAATGTGTATCTATATATTATTTTTGCTTCCTGTGGATTCTAGCTATTTGGTTACTATTAAATGCTTAGAATAATCTGCTGATTTGCTAAATGTTAGTTTCAGTTTCTTTTCTTTTTTTGGATTTTTTTCATTTCTAATTAATAACACAAACAAACATACAAGACAAATACAGAACACATAATCGGGGAGAATATTTTCCATATACAGTGGTGCCCCATTCCCACCATTCCGGATAAATCGTCGCTATCCAGAAACGTCGGTATATGAGACAAAAAACCCCATAGGAACGTATTAAACTCTGTTTAATGTGTTCCTATGGGAGGGTAAACTCACCGCTAAGCAGGAATCCTCCATAAGGCTGCCATTTTTGCTGCCTTGGTAAGCGAGGAATCAGCGCGAAAACGCTGCGGGCAGCCATTTTCTTCATCCGGTGGCCATTTTGGAACCGCCGATCAGCTGTTCTGAAAACATCGCAATGCGAAGATCGGTAAGTGAAACGCTTACCAATCATCGCAATGCGATGTTTTACCTATTAAAGCATCGCAATATGATCGCAAAAACAATCGCAAAATCCGCATCGCTATGCGGATTCGTCGTGAAACGGTGCACTCGTTAAGCGAGACACCACTGTATCCATCTAACATATAATACTGCCTACATAGACCATATTGCCCTACTAAACATCTTTAGGCCATATCCGTTTGATATATAGCTCTGACTACATAAACCCCAAAGATTAACATACATAAATTGTCAATATATAAACTTAACCCCGTATTGATCTTATATTCAAGCCACTCTTAATTGCATAGACCAACTACAGTTCATAAGTTACTTAATATTTCCATGTTTCTAGCTTTTCATCAATACTGTACCTTCTAAACAATTGTGATCAGAATATATAATCTAATTTAAGCATTACCTGTACTTAATGTTAGTTTCAGTTTCTGGGGAAGGAAGGTTATACTTTTAAAAAAATGTATGTTACTACTGTTTTGCTTTAAAAAATTAAAAATCTGTAATGAATTTCCCTCAACTGTAAATAGAAGCTGCCACTGGGATTCAGATGGAATTAACAGTGTATTCTTCTTGGGCTGGAACTACATGTTTGCACTAATCAATCAGTCAAACAAACAAACAAACCTTTATTAGCATACACAAAACACCTTATCAAAACTACATTCAGTAGAACTTCTTTGCAGCTTTCTGGAACAATATCAAAGATTGTTCAGATTCGATGTAGTTTTATTGTTTATGCCACAAGACATACTCTCCACCCTATCCTAGGTACCCTGTAATAATAATAAATTAAAAAATTTATTGTTGTAATTAGCCTAGTGATTACATCAGAGGATCCATAAACCTGGCTCAAGCAGGGGGTGCTGGTTCAAAACATGCTATTTTTGGCCTGTTCACTATGTGTGCTAAGAAGCATGCTACTTTCTCCACCCTGTCGTTTAACAGAAAACACATTCAGTCTATATCTGACCACCCTCTAACCTTGAGCAATACTGAGCCCAGATATTGAGCATGGAGTTCTGAATAGTGAGGGCAATATAAACACATGTGTACCAGCTACTCAGTTCCTCCCAGTTCACAAGAGCAGTTCCTTTCATTGTAAGGAATACCTGAAACCTGCCAGATAATACTGCTGAAGGCATTACATTAAATCTGGCCAGGGAATAGGCTCTGCATTTTTAGGTGCTATTGCACTAATCTGCAGCAAAGATATTCACTGTGGGTTTGTTGCAAAACAAAACTGCTGGGTTTATGTCCCCAAGTGAGGACATTACTGTCTGGCCATTGTACATCTGGTGTGATCGATAGTGAATATCTGAGATGGATATACAGTTAAGGAGACAGCAGCTTATAGCTGGGAGGCTTCCATGTATTTGTATGGTAATTGCTACCTTTACATTCCTTTGCCATACTGAGGAGGTATGCAGGCTCTACTGCAGTTTTAAAAAGTGTGATTTGGGTCCTTTTTTTGAAACCACTGTAGATTCATGTCATGTGCAGTGACAGGAGTCACTGTGACTTCTACCCATTTTTTTCCAGAGTGTATAGTTTTGCCTCTGAGTATTCAAAGTATCAGCCGTGTATACTTTGGGGAATCTTTACCCTAAGCCCTTTAACAAAAAACAGTAAAAATTTCAAAGCCTGAAAACAGGAGTCGCTTATTATAAAACTAAAAAAGCTCTGGAAAACCTTAGTAATATTTTGCATGTACACATATTGCAACTGTATTTTCTTGACAAAACAATGGCCACAAATCAGGTCCCAACAAACAGGGAAGAATCACAAAAGAAGACACTGGAATACAGCAACACCATCTGGATACCCCATTTTTAAAAAAGGGAACAAAGTATGATAGATAGAGTAAAAGAAGGGGTAGTCTGGAAGCAACAAGAACATTAGATCTGAAAATTAATTTGTTGTACGGTAGAAATCAGAAGATGAACCCATTAAACTTCCAGTGTTTAAAATTTACACCTGTTAAATTACAATATTGTTAAACTACAACCCTATGTTAAATAAACATTAGTCACTCCACATTTCCTCTCCTCAAGGCTATGATGAGCCCCAGGTTTTGAAAGCATTGTTCCATGGAGAGACAGTTGATTTCTCTCAGGGTGTGACCACAGTGACAAAAACTGAGGGAAATACTGTGAGTTTGGGACTGGCTGATTCACATTTTTTCCATTGATCACATGTTGCAAGGGGAAATGTGAATCAGCCTGGAGTTCCTCTCCTATCCGTAGTTCTTCCCCTCCACTGCAGGGGGTTTTACATTTTAAAAAACAGATCCTTTCACATTGATTTAGACGGGATTGCTTGAACCAATGCAGAAAAGAGAAGACGAGCTGTGCATGCAAACAAAGCTGTGTTTTGCTGAAGTACCTTTCCCCTCATCTCTCACCTCGTGAGGCAGAACCACATAAACACAGAAGCAGCATCAGCACAGACACACTCCAGAAAAGCCTCTCTTCCAAGTGTGCGTGTGTGCTTTTGTTACAGCTTTGCCTCCATGGGGAAGACTCTTGGATTTGTTTGTTTGTTAACAGCTTAAGAATGGAGCTTCTTTCCCTTGGCTTAAAAGATGTTTTTTGTTTTTGTTTTTGTTTTTGAAATGATAACAAAATGAGGAGATTAAAGACAGGTTTGTTTAGTTTTGTTTTTTGGTTGTTGGATAGTTGTATAATGGACTGATTTGAATGCAATAGGAATTTGGTCTTTATGATCAGAGTAGCTACTTTGGAAAAGGCAAGCAAGCCGTAAACCAACTTTTAAACAAGTGTATACTTTTAGTCAAATGCTTTTGTAGTCAAATGTACTAAAAGGCTATAAAAAGCCAGTTGGGTAATCAGCTGGCTCTTTATAGGGCAATGGTTCCCAGATTTTGGACTCCTGCGGGCTTTGGAAGTACAGCTTCAAGAGGCCCTGAGAAATGCTAGACATTCTTAGGTAACAAGTGTGGTTCCCCAAGGCTCAGTCCTCTGCCTGGTGCTTGTCCATATTTTTATTAATAACTTGGATGAGGGAGCGTAGTGGATACTTATCAAATTTGCAGATGACACAAAATTGGGTAGCATAGCTAATACCTTGGAAGACACGAATAAAACTTGAAAAGATCTTGATAGACTGGAGCACTGGGCTGAAAACAACAGAATGCAATTTAACAGGGGTAAGTGCAACTTTCTAAGGGGGGTGGGGTGGTGGGAACTAAATGCACAGTTACAAGATGGGGATGCTTGGCTCAGAAATGGTATGAATGAAAAATCGTTGAAATTGTTGTAGACCAAAGGCTGAGTATGAGCCAAGAGTGTGATATGGCTGCAATAAAAAAAGTCAACATTATTTTAGGCTGTATTAACAGAAGTATAGTCTCCAAATCTCATGAGGTACTAGTTGCCCTCTATTCAACACTGGTTAGGTCTCATCTAGAATGCAATCCAGTTCTGGACACTACACTGTAAGAAAGATGCCAACAAACTAGCGCAAGTTCAGAGGAGGGCAACAAGGATGATTGGTAGACTGGAAACTAAGCCCTATGAGGAAAGACTGAAAGAACTCTGCATATTTGGCTTTGAGAAGTGAAAACTGAGGGGAGATATGCTAACACTTTTCAAGTAGTCATACAGAGGAGGAGCAGGATCTGTTCTCAACCATCCTAGAGAGCAGGACATGTAACAAAGGGCTCAAGCTATAGGAAGCCAGATCTAGGCTGAATATTAGGAAAAACTTATTAAGTGTTAGAGCAGTATGCTAATGGAACCAATTGCTTCAAGAGGTGGTGAGTGCTCCAAGGCTGGAGGCATTCAAAAGAAAATTGGA